AAACCCTAAACCCTAAAAAAAGGCCCTAAACCCTAAAGCCTAAACCCTAAAAGAAAAGCCCTAAACCCTAAAGCCTAAACCCTAAAAAACACCCCTAAACCCTAAACCCTAAATGTTGGGTTTTGGGTCGTAGGGCGTTGAAGGGTTCTCTACCTTCGGCTTTTGGGGTGCAGGCTCAGAGCTTGGGGGGTTTTAAGGTTTAGGATTTGAGGGTTTAGGGTTTAGGGTTTAGGGTTTAGGATTTGAGGGTTTGGGGTTTAGGATTTGAGGGTTGGGGTCGAGTTCTCTCAGGTTTTGACATTTTGTGTTTTCGGGTTCGGTCTTAGACTTTGAGCTTCGAGCGTTGAAGCCCTAAGCCCTAGAGCCTAAACCCTAAACTGCCCTAAACCCTACAGCCTAAACCCTAGATGCTGAAGAAGGCATTGCTTGGTCTTTGGCCAAATGATTCCGGGCTCGTTGTGTTGACAGATCTCTGGGCGATGGCTTGGCGCCGATAAAGATATCACACCTTCGGCCTGCACACCCTAAACCCTCAACCCTGAAGGTTTAGGGTTTAGGGCAGATCCTAAACCCATAAACCCTAAACTCATCCAAACCCCAAGCCCTGTAACCCCCAAAGTCATGGGCTTTGGATGTCGTCTGCCGGCCCCTAAACCCTAAACCCTAAACCCTAAACCGCCAGGCTACGGCTTGTTCAGCAGCATCGAGCAGCACCACGGGCAAATCGTCGGTGCGGTGGTGCCATGCTCAGAGGAGTTTCAGAGTTTAGGGGTTTAGTAGGGTTTAGGGTTTAGGGTTTAGGGTTTAGGGTTTAGTAGGGTTTAGGGTTTAGTAGGGTTTAGGATTTAGGGCCCTCTGATGGACTTTTGTTTTCCTTCGTCTGGGGTTTGAGGTCTGGGGTTGCGGGTGCAGAGAAGGGGCAGTGAGAACAGGTTTAACACAGACGTGTATCTGCCATTGTCTAGCATGAGTATCTGTTGTCGTGGTACGGGGAATGATGCAATCACTGTACCTGAGGAGTGATGCAGAATGGTAAGCTCTGGCAGTAGCAAGTAGTAGCCACAGCGTCCGGTACGTCACGACAACACCCACTATTCTACAGGAGCATGGTCAAGATTCTATTTTATGCAGAGCTCTTCTGGAAGATCTGTCGTGGCGAGACGATCATGGCTGGCACCCCCGGCTGTGTCGAGCAGCAAATGCACTGGTTCCATTGACCCCCAAAGCCTGACGTCATATAACCGTTCCGGGCTTTGGGGTCGTAGGTTCTGGGATTTTGGTCCAATCTTGGTTTCGTAGACTAGAAAACAATCCATTCCGAAAGGCACAGCGGCTGGCGATGGCTGAGCCACACGAAGAAGTCTGGAAATGCGTCGGATGCTGAGCACTTTCGGTCCAGCATTTGTTCTGAGCATGGTGGTTTACTTCCCTGGCGTTCTGAACTTCTAGATTGAAAGCTTTTGATCGTGTCTGTAGGCTGGTGTCTATGATTTTTATCGTGAGTAGTACTGTGCATGTATGGGGGTGGGTATCATTCTACATTGTCGTCTCTTTAGGTTGCAGTTAAAATGTAGCTTCTGTCTTGAAGAGTTCCAAACCGGCCCAGAATGTGGTAATGTAGAGCAAAAGCCTACTCCCAGTTGCACATACCTTAAGATCACTGAATCTAAGACCAGGATGTTTCCATGGGCTCCGATCCCTAGACCCTAACATCCCCGACAACCCCAATAATCCGAATATCTCTAATAGCCGTAGCATTTTTGTCAAGGTTCAGAGTTTACGTTTTAGGGCGGGCCGCGAAATTACATGCTTCTGGGGGGGCGCAGTCGGTAAATCATACCCACCTTGGGCTATTTGGAGTGTTAGGGCCAAGGGCCAATTTTGAAATCACCGTAAACCCTAAGCCGTGCATCTCACAGCCCTGCACCCTCAAACCACAGATCCAAAGCTCCACACTGAGGTGAAAAGCTACCAGTGGGTGACCTCGCGCCCCCTGCGATGGAAGGTACCCTTGAGTCCCTGGCTGGCATTTCAGGTCTGGAGGTTTAGTTGGAGGTTTAGGATTGATGGTTTTACGGAGTTTTGAGCAAGCCCTATACTAAAAAGATGCGCACCCGTCGGATCCCATACCCGAAATCCAAAACCGGGCTCACTGCGAGTCGGCGGGAGTTGATCTGGTGTCGTGTATTGGGGTTATATCAAGGATCCCAGGTTATATCAAGGATCCCAGTTTTCAGGGCTATACCAGGCCACCCTTGGTTTTCTGAAACTGCCATGTCAATGTGGCCCGGGCTCTCGGATAGTGGGTGCCATAGCCCGGACCTACACCCTAAACCCTAAACCCCTAAACCCTAAACCCCTAAACCCTAAGCCCTAACCCTAAACCCTAAACCCTAAACCCTACACCCTAAACCCTCAACCCTAAACCCAGGCTACTCAAACGCTACGCCTTGCGCCAGGTCCAGCACTTAAGCCGAAGCCCTCACTCCGAAGAGTCCTTAAGCAACCCAGCAGCTTAGGGTTTAGGGTTTGGG